AGCTTAAAGCAAAAAAACCACACGTCTCCGTTCATCTTTCTCTTCTATTTGTGTTTTTAGGAGGAGTAGTTAGCTAAATTATACCTGATTGCAAATAGCATCTGTTTGATGTTGATCTGTATTCTTTCTTCAGTCTCGTTTTGAAGCTCTCTCTTATTGTGACTAATTTGGAGTTAGGAGTCTGGAGAGGAAGAGGAGGGGAAATCTTGCCACTGATTTCCTATAATGAAGCAGTCTATTAGCATTCTCCTAAAATTATCATTAATTAAACAAAAAGCTCATCTAGCACTAGGAGCAGGAATATTTCTGCACCATCAAAAAGGCACTGAGTGGGAAATATCATTATGATTCCACTTTACAAAGTCTCTCTCCTCTGCCAGGCTGGAACCCGTGCAGGAGTGAGAAAGCAAGCGAGCTGTGTTTGGGTTTTGGATTAATAGTTGAAGTTCACTCATGTGGAAATAAAGCAGATTTTACTTTGACTAGAATTTGTCATTAAAAAGCCATTATCAGAACCGACCAGTGCAATCCCTGCTCTTTCATTGCTAATGACAAAACAATCTGTTCTTTCAAACACAACAACCTTATATTTTCTTTCAGAGAATGGCGCAGGAGTCTTAACAGAGCAGAAGCTGGGTGAAGAAAGGCAGCCCAAAGATTTATTGATCAATAAAACAGACAATTACAGCTTGTTTATAAAAGGGGAAAAAAAAACACCAACCCAAAACCTTGGGTCTGCAAGCAACACTGAAGCTCTAATAATGACAACTGTGGTATCCAGCTTCAAACGATAAAAGTCAATAGGAAGATATAGGATTTCAATAAAATTATGACACTAGATAAACTTTACCCCAGGAACAGATTTTCCCAGAGTGTGTGACTGACTTCAGTGAGATTTGTAACTTTAATTTCTTTCCTATTGATTTTTCTTTTCTCCAACTAATTAGAAAGTCTGCGGTGAATTCTGTGCGTGTATGTTTCAGGAGGGGCCAACAAGCATCAAGGAGAATAGGGCCTGAGATTTTATTTATACACACCTATATATAATATAAATAAAGGGTCCCGTGGCATTTTTAATTCTTTTACTATATTTTACTTTTTCTCCAGTTGCTTCCAATGTACAGCAGGGAGCTGTGTGTTCTCCTCCCTGCGTGTCAGAGGCCATGGGTTGCCCTGGAGCTGCGTGCAGTGCTGCTTTGCTGATGTGGCTGTGCTGAAAGGATGGTGGCAACTGGTGGGTGCTTATTGGAAGGCTTATCAGCTCTTCCCCTGAAAACAACCCCAAGAGGGGTTCCTAGAAGGACCCTCTTATGTTACTGAGCTGCTCCTGTTGCCCTCTGGTGTGTCAGTGTCAATGAACTTTTCTGTATCTTCGAGTTGCTTATCAAATGGGGCAGATGTTGGCTTTAGGTAAGAGAAGGAATAGAGATGGTGGCAGAAGAACTGGAGAGAAGTTTGATCCTAGGGCTCAAACCAAGCCCTTCAGAACATGGTTAGAGCGAGCTGCATTTCTGCTCTGATGTTGATTAGAATCTGGCCAAAGTGAAGAACACCCAAATGTGTGCTGTGTTCTCCTGCTCCTCCAAGGACTTTACAGGATCTGCTTTAGGTGAACTGCCATTGCAGGGTGTGAGCTGTGGGTTAGCAAAATGCTTTGTGCTGGGTACGTTTTGGAAATTCTCCGTGGGACCCCATTTTAGCAATTCTGCTGAATGCTCTCTTGACAGAGCAGAAGTGTTAGAAAAAAGTCAGAGAAGATACACTGAAGTCACTGCAGAGGTTCTTTGATGGGCTTGTGGAGTATCTTGTCCTATGGGATGAGGGGATACTGCGGCAATTACAGAACTGGGATTAAATTCACAGAATCACAGAATCACAGAATCACTAAGGTTGGAAAAGACCTATAAGATCATCCAGTCCAACCATCCACCTGTCACCAATGGTTCTCATTAAACCACATCCCTCAGCACAACATCCAAACGTTCTTTGAACACCTCCAGGGTCGGTGACTCCACCACCTCCCTGGGCAGCCCATTCCAGTGCCTGACCACCCTTTCAGAGAAGTAGTATTTCCTAATATCCAGCCTGAATCTTCCCTGGCGAAGCTTGAAACCATTCCCTCTAGTCCTATCACCAGTTACACGAGAGAAGAGGCCGACCCCCAGCTCGCTACAACCTCCCTTCAGGTAGTTATAGAGAGCAATAAGGTCTCCCCTGAGCCTCCTCTTCTCCAGACTGAACAATCCCAGCTCCCTCAGCCGCTCCTCATAAGGCCTGTGCTCTCAAATTGTTGAGAATCTTTTTAAACAGAGAACTTCTTAACAAGAACTTCAGTTTCCTGCCAAACGAACAAGTTCTTTAGGAGGGAGAGAAAAGCTCTCAGTAAGTGCTCTCGGTGGGGGATGAATTAGAAAATGGAGCCGGGGACCACTTGTTGGTGAGAAATGATTTCATTACAGTATTAATATTTAGAAATAATTACGGAGGAGAACTAGACTCCAGGATCAAGTGTTTAATTGTGCCACCCTTTATTCCAGTTTTTCAGCCCCTTTTTTTCAATCCTGCTTGTGCTGTGTTTTTGCTGTGCATGCCTTTTCCTGGCAAGTTGCATCTTTTCAGTGTACAGCTTTGAAGGGCAAGGTCTGTATCTGGCTGCAGGGGAAACACACCCCATAAGAATGTCCTGCTCCTGTTCTCATCCTACATCACCCTAATGTGGAAGCAGACGGTTGCTGTTGTTGCAGCTGAACAGCTTGGGGAACTGCTGGAATCTTGCTGGGAAGGACTTGACTGACCTCATATTCGGCAGTTAATTGGAAGCCAAGTGTGATGGGAATTGCCACAGGTCCTGTTTGCTGCTGAAAAAATGCTCAGGGGTTTGGAACTGCCCTCCTGTAATGGAGAGAACATTGCCACGTTAAATTATCACATTGATGAAAGATGCTTTGCAGAAAATTAGGGTAGTGAGCAGCTTGGAGTACATAGAGAGCTAGTGAGATGATGCTGTAATTGCAACAGTGTGCAAGGATAAACCCAGTAACTTCAATAAATGCCATCATTATGTACTCTTCTGTGTCCTAGACAGGGATTCTGGGATAAGTGGAGAATGAAAGTCATTTCCTAAGCAAAGACAGGCTGCCTTCTGGAGAGTACACTTGGCAGACGGGGTGACGTGTGTGTGTGTTGCTGGGGGAGAAGGATGGAGCCATCCTTTACTGCTGGCTTTCTGCTAAACAAGTTCATTACCAGGCAGGTGTGGTGTGACTCCGTCTGGTTTTCTCCTCCTACAGTAACATGGAAGATTTTCTTTTCATGTGTCTGTTAGATCAGTAATTCTTTGTAAACTTTACTGAAAAACTGTTCTTTCCTTAGAAAAGTATTTCTCTTCATTCAGGCCTGAGCAAGAAGCCAATAATAGCTTCCAACACTCTTTGTGTTAGAACCTGTTTTTCTTTATTAACGCACTTCTTGCAGCCTGAGGCTGGGCTTTGATCTCGAGATCCTTTTACCTGCTGACCAGCCCAACCATCTTGGCTGACCTTTCAGTGCATCATCACATGCTCTGGATAAAAACCATTCTTGTGGCAGTGCCCCCTTCTTATTTTCACACCTTGAATTTGGATGTTCCTTCCCTTCCCCATGCGTACACGTGTTATCCAGTCAGCGTTTGACCTTTAGGTTTGAATGGAAAGGGTTTGGGCTTCAGGTACGGGCTTGCTTGACTGAGCAGTTAGCATCCCTTTCTCTATCTGAAATACATTTGGGATTGAGGGGAAAGGGCTTTCTTATCCCAGTAATTTTTGATTTCCACAGGAGAGCAGCATCCCAGCCAAGTGTTTCAGCATGGCTAAGCAATGTTTGTGAGCTGCTCCAAGTTCTCTGTAGCAGCAGTGGCCTGGGAACGGCACAGCTGTAAAGCTGAGTGATCCTCTAATAACAGTTTGGATGTTTGTGATCGCAGCATTCACAGAGATAATGGATTTGCCCTGAACGTTTGTGCATTGCTGCAGCAGGGTGAAATAGAAATTTCAGCAATAAAAGGGAAGCAACCCTGTAAGATTTCCTAGGAGTTTCTGCTCTTTTGATTTATGCAGTGGGAATGTACTGCTTTGGCTCTGTTCTGCAGCCTTGCAAACATCAAGGCTCTTCAATACAGTCAAAATATGAAACATTTCATCAGCTCTCTAATCCCTGTATGCACACTGCACTGTAACCAGCAATCTCTTTAAAACATACCTGGCTTTCTGGAATATTGTTCAGCCTTTTGTCCCCACCAGTGTCTTGGCCACAAGGTGCTACCTAACACAGTCAGCTTTCAAGCCCAGCTTTGTACTTGGGAGTGTGAAAGCTCTCAGAGCATGGAGGGGGATCCTCCAGTTTATAACCATCAGCAAATAGGAAAGTGAGCCAAGCACATTCTCGGCAGGATATTAACCTCTGAAAAAATACTAATTACGAGCACTGAATATTGCAGCGCTCAACAGGTGATCAGTCACATAGCATTTGGAGGATATTTGCTCTTAGTCACTTTGTTCATCATCAAATCTATTTCATTTCTGTTGCCATATTTCTGTTCATTCACTGCTGGAATTCTCTGGCAGGAAAAATGTCAAGTACTGCACTCAACGTTTTGCTGAAGAAATCTGTTCAGCCCATTGAATTAGAACAGTGTCTCCAGAAAGAAGGAAGGCTCTGGTTTCAGTTGTTATTTGCTTGTTGGGGTGAATGAGTGTTGCTGTCCTGCAAGGGACGTGTGCTTTTTTATACCCCAGACAAGCTGATTATTCATTTCTTGTGTTTTTTTCATTGATTTTTATCAGAGCTGCGTGCTCACACCTGTGACTCGATGCACATACAAAGACCATGAGAATATATCCATCAGGGCTTTTTTTTTTTTTTTTTTTTTGCAATGGGAAAAAAACACATTGTCCTGAGGACCCTCCTGCGTATATGGGTTCAGGGCTTTTACCCCTAACGATGATTTCTGTTCTTCCCTGCAGGAGCGGGATGGGATGCGGGCGATCCTGGAGTCGTACGACAGCGAGCTGACCCCTGCAGAGCACTCCCCGCAGCTGAACCGGCGCATGCGGGAGGCCGAGGAGATGGTGCAGAAGCTGCACGCTCATAACGCCGAGCTGGAGGTAATAAAGCAGCATCCTTCTCTAACCCCAGTGTGGGAACAGCTGAGGCCGTTTAAGCCCGAGCTGCCCAGCAATGTGCTCTGCAGAAGGCAGGGTTGCAAAATGCAGACTTCGGAATGCCGACGCATGGTGTCGGTGATTCCCTGCAGAGCAAGGCTCTCCTGCAGGCTGTGTCAGTAAGGGTGTGCTCATTAGGCCCTTACTTGGTGCGTTTGGAAGAGTAAAGTACCTGTCTGCTGTTATTCTTCTCTTTGTGGCATCGGGCCTGAAAGCCCCGGAGCACCAGTAACTATGTTAACTGCTTTTTTTTATACTGGGGTTTTCGCTAAGAAAAACATTTTCTTTTTTTCTGAAGATAGTGTTTCTCAAAGGGATTCTTATATTATTATTCTCTTTATGTAAATTTGCAGGCTGAAACAGGGCTATAATGAGGTAAATTATAACATCCATTTGCCAAATTATTCCCTACCTCCCTGCTGTATTTGGTGGGAGTGGAACGGTCCTGAATAGAAGTATTTGGAAATATCTCTGTGATCTTAAATCTTGGCATTTTTATTCCATAGATTTTACAATAACTGTAAGTATGTGAGTTTTCCTTTCTTCACATCTAATTCTACCAGCATATAGATTTATAGACACTGTAATTCAAATGGAGTAAAACTTGTAGTAATTGCTGCTCCTGGGATTCCTAATGAAGTGAACTGCCCTGCTGTGCATCCATCTCCTTGTCACTCCTGTCATTTTCAGGAAACACTCTTTTCTTCTTTGGTAGGTAGGGGCTTAGGGCAGGGAGTACAGGCTCCAGTGACCTCTAGAGCCTTAGCAAGCAGAGCAGTGTGGTGTGAGCTCTGTATTGCATTGTAAGTCCTCTTCCTCCCTGTTTCTCAGTTTTGGGCAAGTTGAGCCAGAACTTAGTGGCAGATGAAAAGGAAACTTGCCTGAATGTTTTCATCTCCACGTGGTTGTTTGATATCTGCATTGTTTAACAGCAGGATTAGATGGCACTGGCACGACATGATAGGTGGCTGATTCATCCTGTGCTCTGAGTTGCTGCCTGCCTGTGGTGGCTATGGGTTGATGGATGGAAATGTCCCGAGTTGTTTTGCTGTGTGGGTCGAATCTGCTCTGGGTGGTAGCAGATTACCTTTTCCTTTTCAGGTGGAAGGCTGGAGGAGTGTTGGAACCAGCTCCTGCATCCTTTTAATTATTTATAGGGAACAAATGATAAGTTTATCTTCATGGATATGGATTAAGGGCTACGTGGAAAATTTCAGAAAGGAGCTGTGTGCTCTGGAGGTTTGTTTTGTGTGATGTCAACCTTTAAGTCTTTCAAAGACTTTGCTAGAAGCAGGATTCAAAGTCCTTATATTCCCCTTGTAAAGTAAAATTTTATGCTTCACTTGCTTGTGTTTGCCTTTCTGACTGCAACGTTGGCTGCCAAATCCAATCAATTTTGAAATTTTGGAGTCTGTTGTTCTAGTAAAAATTCAAAAACTAGAAAGGGAAATGGAGGTCCATGAGGGCCTGCTGGCATCTCGTCATCAGGAGCAGCAGCTGTAAGTCACTGCCTGCAGATCAAAGATCTGGTTGATAGCAGCTATTAATAACTTCTCACATAATGCTCTGCACCTCCCAGCTCTGCACATTTTAGAACTGTTGACACCTGTGTGACTCATCTCGCAAACAAACAGAGGAGACAGCAGGAATGAGGCACCTTGGAGCTTCGGTTGATTTCTGAAATATGGGTTAAACTATCCCTGATGCTGCAGAGGGAGCAGAAGGGAACTTGGGCACATCTAAATCCTGGTGGCAGAAGGGTCGGGATGTGCCAGGAGCACCTGCTGTAGGTGGGCTGGGAGGGCAGCAGGCAGCTGACTTGCGGGTTGTTTTCATGGTTTGTTTTGTTTTTTGCTATTGAACAGTTCATTTACCCAAATCTCTCCCCATGTACCCTAGCAGAGAAACCTTTGATGCTCGTAGAGCTGACACGTCTGTGTGTGTGTTCCTGCTGGCTGCCCCAGTCTGTTACCAGCAGCCCAACCTCTGAACAACCCATGAAGGGAATAAGTAATGTTTCTAACCAGAATTTCTTGTACTCTGAAAATGAAGATTTTTCCCATTCATTCCATCAGCAGCCCCACGTGAGTGAGGAGGTCTCTGCTGAAGATGGAGCGTAGGAAGAGTTTGTGCTGAGGCAACAGCTTCTCACTTATTAGGGAGATGAGGCCTCTGATAAGCCTTCTGCTTGATGTGGAAGTGAGGTGGGAAGCAGTTTAAAAGAACACAGGGAACAAGAGAGAGGTGTGTAGGCCCCGAGGGCTGCGTGTGAGCAGTTTGTTAGTGCATACTGCAGGGATGGATGGTGTGGTACGGAGCTGTGTTGGCCCCTCTGTGACTGGCAGGACAGCTGCTGGGAACACTGCAGGGTCTGCAGCATCAACCTCGTTGGGAAGAAAGGCACCTTGCCAGGAGCTCAAATGCAGAGTGATGCTTCCATCCCAGCTCACTTTGGAAGCACTGTGTTGGTGTCAGAGAACTGGTCCTGTCTGTGCCTGATGGGGCAGAGAACCATAGAGTGAAGACAGGCTGATGGGGAGCTTTTAAAATCCTCTTCACTGATCTAATGCATGAGCATGCATTAGAGATCCATATCTGTAGTCTGTTCTGGGGCTGAAAGTGATTGCCCAGGACTGCCTGCCCCCAGCACAAGCCCTGTTCCACGGTGCAGAGCCAGCTGTTAGGTTTCAAGAAAGCCCTTTATGGAGCACTACGTGTAAAGCAGGGAGGAGACCAAGAAAAATACCACGTGAAATGGAAGCTGGAAAAGCAAGCAGGCTGTGCCAGCCTATTTCGGGTGGTTAATGAAGTGTCACTCAGCATCTTTTTAAAAGCGTGTTTTGGAACTGAAAAGGGAATGAGTTTGTCTCTGGTCAGCATGTAATCAATATGTAAAATTAACAGAATTGCGGCTGTGTTCTTATCGTGACATAAATTTTCAGCTTGCAATCAGCAATATTAGCAGTTTTTGTGCCAATCTTGATTAACTTTTACAACCGTTGCTCCCATTAAATCTAATCTCAAGATAAATGTGACAAAGCAAGAAGCCTCTGAGCGTGTGGCAGCTTGTGACAGAGCTCTGTTGTGGAGTTTAGTGTTTGAAAAGTTAAATCCAGCTGCACAAAAGAGAAATCATCATAAATATAACTCCATTAATAGCTATTTTATTACAACACACTTGGCTCCATATGAAACTTTAATGAAGAGAGATTTGCAAGGAAGACTCACGCTGACACCTTCAATGGTCTCTAGCATTTTTTACATTGAGAGATTTACACTGTCTGTGAGCACCATATGTATTCTAATCAGATAATTATGAGTCTGACAGTTTCAGCACGAGAAATGCCATATGCTCTGTGTTTTTTTGTGGTGGTGTTTTTGTTGTGGATTATTTTTTTCATCATGGGTATTACTGGTGTTACTGGTGACTTCAAAACTTGTTGACCAAAAATTATCACCTTATCTGAGCGTGATAACTGCAGCTCATCTGCTGGTGGTACCCGTGGTGATAGCCACAAGTCTGCTCCTTGCTAAGTGAGTTGCTTAGCAGTCACTTAAAGTGCTTAGGATTTATGTGGATGCAATAGAATGTTTATTTGAGCAGTTAACAGTTCCTCCTCGTCTCTCACCTGGCTTCCCTCTCAGTGCTTTTCCACTTTGTTTTACCTCCTTTTTTTCCTCCCTTTGATCCGCACTTTATGCTTGTCGTGCTTTATCCCTCTGCTGAGTTCTCTCTCTCCCTCAAAGGCAAATTGCTTCTTTACATGGCAGAAGGGGTTTCTGTGATGATGGGAGCTTTACAGAGAAATTTCCTTCTATCTGTGCGATGCACAGAGGAGTTTGTTTCCATGTTCACGTTTCTCCTGCCTGCTTGCACTGCCTCTCTGCTGCCTTCCAGCCTTTCTGCACCACTTATCTCAGTGACAAGTGTAAGAAGCAGTGAGAAGATTGCCCTGCTCCCTTTGGATGTCCACAAGGAGCAAATCCGAGCCACTAGAGCATTCCTGCCGTTCCAGCTTGGTGTGTGTTTCACTTGCCCAGACTTCTGCTGTCACTGTAGCATCTTATCTGTAACTCAGGAGGGAGAAAAGAGACTCTCTGGAGATGATGCTCACGTGCTGCACGCACCAGTTAGCACTGATTGCTGAAACACTCACAGTGCAGGCCATCATATTCTGACACAAACTCCCTGTCAGAATAGCATTTGGAACCTGGGCGCTTTGGCATCTCTCAGCAGTTCTGAGCCTTCCTGGCTGCCGCTGCATCCTTCATCTTTCTTTTCTTTTCTAGAGGAGACGTGGCTCAGGCTCTGCGTCCTCCAGCACCGCTGCAAATCGGATGATCTTCAGTTCTCTCTTCCCTCACACGTTTCATCTTCCTCCAGACCCGAGTGCCCTTGTCAAGTCAGGGAGCCATGAGTTCCCTCCCTCCCTTTTACACCTGCTGGCGGCTGTGTTTGGGGAGAGCACCTTGCAAAGAGCCGTCACATAAATGAGGAAGTTGCATCGTGAGGGGTGCAGTGATTTGTTAAAGGTGACAGTCCCTGCTCTGTGGGAATGCCCTTAAAACTGGCTGGTGCCACAGCAGCAGAGCCTGTCTCCTTGGACCCAACACTTTTTTAATTGGTTGAACTAGATGTTAAAGCCCACTTATTATTTTTATTTTTATTTTTTGGAGATGTTTCTTCATTTTGGATCTGTACCGAAAATCAGGTGGTGTGTGGCAATGCCTGCACTATGGGTATCCTGCACAGGGCAGTGTTGTAAAGGTGGATTTTTACAGCTTGTTTTAGTGTGGATGCTCTGACAGTTTAAGAATGGCTTTAACTCAACAGTTCCTCGGGACCACAGCTAAAGAGGAGCAGGCTGCCATCATTCTTAAGAAATAAGAATTCTTGACACCAACTTGTAGAGGGTAAATTGAATCATTAATGAAGTTGTCTG